TAAACTGACCCCCACAACATCTGTGATATATAACTGTTAACTGACCCCCACAACATCTGTGATATATAACCGTAAACTTACCCCCACAACATCTGTGATATATAACCGTAAACTGACCCCAACAACATCTGTGATATATGACCGTAAACTGACTCCCACAACATCTGTGATATATAACTGTTAACTGACCCCACAACATCTGTGATATATAACCGTAAACTGACTCCCACAACATCTGTGATATATAACCCTAAACTGACCCCCACAACATCTGTGATATATAACCGTGAACTGACCCCCAAAACATTTGTGATATATAACTCTAAACTGACCCCCACAACATCTGTGATATATAACCGTAAACTTACCCCCACAACATCTGTGATATATATCCGTAAACTGACCCCCACAACATCTGTGATATATCACCGTAAACTGACCCCCAAAACATTTGTGATATATGACTGTAAACTGACCCCACAACATCTATGATATATATCCGTAAACTGACCCCCACAACATCTGTGATATATATCCGTAAACTGACCCCCACAACATCTGTGATATATCACCTTAAACTGACCCCCAAAACATTTGTGATATATGACCGTAAACTGACCCCACAACATCTATGATATATATCTGTAAACTGACCCCCACAACATCTGTGATATATAACCGTAAACTGACCCCCACAACATCTGTGATATATAACCGTAAACTGACCCCCAAAACATTTGTGATATATAACCGTAAACTGANTGTGATATATAACTGTTAACTGACCCCCACAACATCTGTGATATATAACCCTAAACTGACCCCCAAAACAATCTGTGATATATAACTGTTAACTGACCCCCACAACATCTGTGATATATAACCCTAAACTGACCCCCACAACAATCTGTGATATATAACTGTTAACTGACCCCCACAACATCTGTGATATATAACCCTAAACTGACCCCCAAAACAATCTGTGATATATAACTGTTAACTGACCCCCACAACATCTGTGATATATAACCCTAAACTGACCCCCACAACATCTGTGAAATGTAATCGTAAACTGATTACACTTTGTTTCTTTTTGTCTGTTTAGATTTTAACGAGTGTGAACATTGGGGATTCTGTGACCAGAAGTGCGTTAATTCCTTGGGGTCGTATCAGTGCAGTTGTTTCCATGGTTACACACTACAGAACAACCGAGCGTGTGTCACCACCGAAGCTGGTAAGATTTAAATGTTCATATATTTTAGTTTGTGATTTATTTCCACCCATTATATGTGCATTAGGTTGCTCGTGCCTGAAGGGTTGGGGTTTTGAGTCACGTCATGGCACTGTGTTGTATCTTTGAACAAGATACTTTACTCCGCTTGTTCCAGTCTACTCAGCTGTAAATGAGTATGTGGTTGGGCAGTGCTAGAATTGTAGAATGCTCGCTGTGAGCGCCGAAATGGCAGCACCGGCTGTATGCTCCCCAGTGAGTTAAGAAAGATATTGGCTTGTTGTAAAGGCCCTATAACCAAGTATAATAATTTGTGAACTGCTGAGACGACCTACGAACTAGGTTGTGATGAAGTGGTATATAAGAACCTCAAATTATTATCATTATTATTATTAAATGTTCATATAAATTTGCCCTTTGCTGACATGGGCTTAGGGCGAATGTAGGATGGTATTCAATCATAAACTGTGGCAGGTTAGTCCATATTCTGTATACTGTTTCTTGTATGGTAGTTGCCAAATGAACCCCACCAGCCTACACATCCTGAGCCATTAACCCCACCAGACTACACATCCTGGGCCATTAGTTTTAAGGAGGCCTTGCTGTAAACTTTGATAAATTGCAGACTGATTTAAAAATGATTGATCCCTCATTGAATTCCCTGCGCATGTTTTGGAATTGCGCATAAGTCATGCTGAATTTCCCATCTTGTTCAAAGGCAAATAAATATGGCTAAGTGAGACAGGGTAAAAAATGTTTATTCCTGCAGAATGACGATACAAATCAGGACAAATGAGTCAGCAGCGAGAGTTCACCTGTTGTAGTTTATTGTATATTGGTTTGGTAGGGGAAAATTAAATTTATCATCAATTTGTGTCAATAAACAGGAGTCATATTGGTGATGTTTGTTTGTGTTGACTAGCTACCTCTCGACCAGTATTTGTTGGTCTCGAAGATCGTATCATACGAATGAGTACCAAGGGAGAAAATCAAACGACTGTTGTGCTGGGTGAAATTGAAGATTTAGAACTGGATGTTCGGCGAAATCTGATCTTCTGGATAGACAGCAAAGCTAGCAAGGTAAGACACAACTTCTGGACAGACAGTTATGCATAGCAAGGTAAAACACAACTTCTGGACTGACAGCAATGCTAAGCAGGGTAAAACACAACTTCTAACAGACAGCAAAGCTAGCAAGCTTAAAGTAAAACACAACTTCTGGACAGACAGTAATGCTTAGCAAGGTAAAACACAACTTCTAACCGACAGCAAAGCTAGCAAGCTTAAGGTAAAACACAACTTCTGGACAGACAGCAATGCTAAGCAAGTTAAAACACAACTTCTAACAGACAGCAAAGCTAGCACGCTTAAGGTAAAACACAACTTCTGGACAGACAGCAATGCTAAGCAAGTTTAAACACAACTTCTAACAGACAGCAAAGCTAGCAAGGTAAACCACAACTTCTAACAGACAGCAAAGCTAGCAAGCTAAAGGTAAAACACAACTTCTGGACAGACAGTAATGCTTAGCAAGGTAAAACACAACTTCTAACAGAAAGCAAAGCTAGCAAGCTTAAGGTAAAACACAACTTTTGGACAGACAGCAATGCTTAGCAAGTTAAACCACAACTTCTAACAGACAGCAAAGCTAGCAAGGTAAACCACAACTTCTAACAGACAGCAAAGCTAGCAAGGTAAACCACAACTTCTAACAGACAGCAAAGCTAGCAAGGTAAACCACAACTTCTAACAGACAGCAAAGCTAGCAAGGTAAACCACAACTTCTAACAGACAGCAAAGCTAGCAAGCTTAAAGTAAAACACAACTTCTGGACAGACAGTAATGCTTAGCAAGTTAAAACACAACTTCCAACAGACAGCAAAGCTAGCAAGCTAAAAGTAAAACACAACTTCTGGACAGACAGTAATGCTTAGCAAGTTAAAACACAACTTCCAACAGACAGCAAAGCTAGCAAGCTAAAAGTAAAACACAACTTCTGGACAGACAGTAATGCTTAGCAAGGTAAAACATAACTTCTAACAGAAAGCAAAGCTAGCAAGCTTAAGGTAAAACACAACTTCTGGACAGACATCAATGCTTAGCAAGTTAAAACACAACTTCTAGCAGACAGCAAAGCTAGCAAGCTTAAGGTAAAACACAACTTCTGGACAGACAGCAATGCTAAGCAAGTTTAAACACAACTTCTAACAGACAGCAAAGCTAGCAAGGTAAACCACAACTTCTAACAGACAGCAAAGCTAGCAAGCTAAAGGTAAAACACAACTTCTGGACAGACAGTAATGCTTAGCAAGTTAAAACACAACTTCCAACAGACAGCAAAGCTAGCAAGCTTAAAGTAAAACACAACTTCTGGACAGACAGTAATGCTTAGCAAGGTAAAACACAACTTCTAACCGACAGCAAAGCTAGCAAGCTTAAGGTAAAACACAACTTCTGGACAGACAGCAACGCTAAGCAAGTTCAAACACAACTTCTAACAGACAGCAAAGCTAGCAAGTTAAAACAAAACTTCTAACAGACAGCAAAGCTAGCAAGCTTCAGGTAAAACACAACTTCTAACAGACAGCAGAGCTAGCAAGCTTAAGGTAAAACACAACTTCTGGACAGACAGCAATGCTAAGCAAGTTCAAACACAACTTCTAACAGACAGCAAAGCTAGCAAGTTAAAACACAACTTCTAACAGACAGCAAAGCTAGCAAGCTTAAGGTAAAACACAACTTCTAACAGACAGCAATGCTTAGCAAGTTAAAACAAAACTTCTCACATACAGCAATGCAGCAATGCTTAGTAAGTTAAAACAAAACTCCTCACAGACAGCAAAGCTAGCAAGGTAAAACAAAACTCCTCACAGTTTGCAATGCTTAGCAAGTTAAAACAAAACTTCTAGACAGACAGCAAAGCTAGTTTTCATGGAGTTCAAGATTTTGTCTTGACATGTTCATTACAACAGGATTAATGTCCCAGAATGCACTACATAACAGACAAATAATTGATACATGTTGCCTAATCTGGAAACTGTTACAGAATCCTGTATACCTGTGATCTCAGTGTAATGCATTGATTGAAGAGAACCGTTTTTTTGATAGCTCTTAATGTAAAGTTATCACTGTCTATTTATCAGCTTTGTGATTGGTCAGTTTTTGACCTCTGGAACAAATCAAATACATGCAGTTAACTGCAACATTCAATTATGCCATGGTAAACCAAAGGGAGCAGAGAAGACATCAAGGGTGTACAACCAGTATGTGTTGAAGATTACATAATGTACTGTTGTAATGTAGTGTGTAATGTTAACCCCAAACATGATCCTAAAAATGTTTTACCAAACATGATATGACTACAGGAATTCAGATAAAAGGACTTGGGGCGATATGGATCCTTTTTGGCCTCATAAAAAGTAAAAAATTCAACTTGAATTTATTTACCAAAAAGCATCCGACATCTTTCTTGGTGCAGAATCTTTTTCAATGCACGTGCGCAGATGCCAGGCTACCATAGCAACAAAATTGCATTGCTATGCAGAAATAGGCAGAATATGGTGTTTTTGGATAGTTAGGGTGCAGGAATGAAAGCCTCCACATGTGACAAACAAAAAAATCCTTTCTATGAATTAACAGCTGGTATGGCAATGTTTAAGCATGTCAACTATTTGTTTGTTTGTTGGATGTGGAGACATTGAAGAGTGTTTAGTTCAGTTTTTTCAAAATGGTCAATTTTCAACCAAATAACGCACAACAGACGATATTCATGCATTTTATCATGAAAGTGCGGGTTTATGTCTTTCTTTGTAATGCCATATCTCCTAAACCAGTTGTGGAATGAATTGGAATTCCAGATAACAAATATAATAACTAATTGTAAATCCCCGATGAGTCCTTAATTAATAATAACCCTTAAAGCCCCTGGTCATTTGATGATGATTATGATGTCATACTGTAACTAACATCACATACTTTTATGATGTCATACTGTAACTAACATCACACACTATTATGATTTCATACTGTAACTAACATCACACACTATTATGATGTCATACTGTTACTGTGACATCACACTATTATGATGTCATACTGTAACTTCTGTGACTGGAAGTTACTGTAATAGATTCTCCCATAGAAAGTGCTTGTTTCTATTGTGTAACCCCCACAGGTGTATCAGGCTAGCCTACAGCGCCCCCAGGAGAACAAGACTCTACCCTTCAATGAGTTGTATCGGCCATACAGCCTCGCGTACGACTGGATCACACAGAATCTTTACCTTGTTGATCAACTTGCTCGAGTCATTAACGTCTTCTCCACGAAAACTGGTTACCAGACCAACGTGGTGGGTAACAACCTTCAAGACCCCCGGGCCGTAGCTCTGGACCCTACACAAGGGTGAGTACATCGGGGGGGGGGACACATTTTGGTGGTGCTTATTTTTTTTTGTTCATGTGTTATTTTGCAGTTATTTTACTTGGATAAGGATATATTGGAACATTTTTGTGTGTTAATTGGGAAAACTATCTTTAGAGGTTTCTTTCCCTTTAGCCATATATACAATTGCTGGGCATAAAGAGATGATAACAATCATGCTATTATAATTGACCCTGGGATCTGGTCACACCCTTAGGGACTTAGTCCCTTGGGTCATAACATGGAAATCTTTGAGATCCCCCCCTATTATAATATATACAATTATTGAGCATGAAGATGTGGATACACATATGCTGGAAAGATTTGCTCAAGGGACTGGCCCTATCCCTAAGATTTTATTTGCCATACTACTTCCATTGAGAATATTTTGCCATGATTGTTCAAATATCCAGGTGAGCGATACAGGCTATCTGGGCAGCTTGTATCTTTCAAATAATGAGAATGTTGCAGAAAATAAACATAAAGAGATCTTTAACAAAGTGTATATTAGACTGTGAACACAAGGTCAAGGTTACAACGATAGGGTTAAAGGTCAAGGTTACAACGATAGGGTTAAAGGTCAAGTTATTTCAGTACTTTGAGCTTCATTTTATGGATATAAGTGTACACCAAAACCAAATGTTTTTGTTTTACAAGATTTTGTTGCCGAAGCAATTGGTAAGAATTTTCTAATCTTACCACGTCTATACAGCAAGTTTGATGAACAATATTTGTGAGAAATGTTATCATAATAGTTGGTTTCTTATGTGATGCAGAATAATGTTTTTCTCCGACTATGGTCGCTACCCTCGACATGAGGCACGTATAGAGCGAGCCTTCATGGACGGCAGCAGTCGGATGAAATTGAAACTAATGAAGGTTGTGGCACCCTCCAGTATTACCGTGGACATTGTAAACAAACGCATCTTCTGGACAGATTATCGCCTTGACTACATAGAATCTACAGATTACTACGGAAAACACAGGTAACATCAAACTTCGGGCATATAAAAATTGATTCTACAGATTACTACGGAAAACACAGCGCATGAGGGGGAAAGGTTCGAAGATGCGGGTGCCCTATTAAGTAATCAGGTTGTCCGTTTTATTTTATTTTGCACAATATTGGTGGAAGTTAATGAAGTATGTTTTTTTTGCTCTTAACTGGTAAACATTTTGTTATGACATTGTGATGCAAAAAAGGTGGTCACAATACAACAAAATGTCAACTGATCGAATGTCAAGGTCATCGGGTCAAAGGTCAAGGTCAGATTTTGTATCTTTTAACTGCTTAACAATTTGTTTTGACATTATGGAGCAAAGTTGGTCACAATCAAATAAGGTATCAACTGACCAAAGGTCAAGGTCACTGGGTCAAAGGTCAAGGTCAAATTTTGTATCATTTCCCTGATGAACATTAGTTATGACATTATGAATCAAAGTTGGTCGGAATTTAACATAGAGTCAACTGATCCATGACTTAAGGTCAATGTCATTGGGTCGATGTCAAGGTCAAATATTGTATCTTTTTACTGATAAACATTTTTTTATGTTATTATAAGGCAAAGTTGTTCAGAACTTAAAACAGACCAAAGGTCCATGTTATGGGGTCCAAAGGTTCAAGTTCAAGGTCAAAGATCAGGGTCACTGGGTTAAAGGTCAAGGTCATTTGGGTCCAAAGGTCAAAGACAAAGTTGATCTCTGACTTTGACCCTGGCTCTTGATGGAGGAGGTATATAAGGTGAAATAAAACAAATCAAAGCTAACAAATGAGTATTTCGCCGGTATTTACATTTCTGTTAACCCAGCAAATATGGAGGTGGAAGGAATCAAGATATATTCCCACAAGACGGGGCCCTTACTGACCTGTCAGTGTTTTAGTTATTAATTAAGAATAAATAGTGATATGTTCATCTGTCTTCAAGTTCGAATTCTGTGTACAAACATTTCTGGAGAAAATACTTTTCAAGATGGCAGACCATGCAAATCGACGATCTTCCTGATAGAAAAAACTAAAAATATCTATAGCTATGTTATTTGCGCACCCATAACTTCAAACCTCATTTCAACAAAAAAAACTACACAAATCACACAAGTTTTAGTTGTCAATCCCTGGCAAACATGTCTGAACTGTGACCAAAGTATCTTACGTCAATCCATGGCAAATATGTCTGAACTGTGACCAAAGTATCTTATGTCAATCCCTGGCAAGTATGTCTGAACCTTGACCAAAGTATCTTATGTCAATCCCTGGCAAGTATGTCCGAACTGTGACCAAAGTAATTTATGTCAATCCCTTGCAAGTATGTCTGAGCTGTGACCAATGTATCTTATGTCAATCCCTGGCAAGTATGTCTGAACTGTGACCAAAGTAAATTATATCGATCCCTGGCAAGTATGTCTGAACTGTGCCCAAAGTATCTTATGTCAATCCCTGGCAAGTATGTCTTAACTGTGACCAAAGTAAATTTTATCAATACCTGGCAAGTATGTCTGAACTGTGCCCAAAGTATCTTATGTCAGTCCCTGGCAAGTATGTCTGAACTGTGACCAAAGTATTTTATGTCAATCCCTGGCAAGCATGTCTGAACTGTGCCCAAAGTATCTTATGTCAGTCCCTGGCAAGTATGTCTCAACTGTGCCCAAAGTATCTTATATCAATCCCTGGCAAGTATGTCTGAATTGTGACCAAAGTATCTTATGTCAATCCCTGACAAGTATGTCTGAACTGTGACCAAAGTAACTAATGTCAATCCCTGGCAAGTATGTCTGAACTGTGACCAAAGCATCTTATGTCAATCCCTGGCAAGTATGTCTGAACTGTGACCAAAGTATTTTATGTCAATCCCTGGCAAGCATGTCTGAACTGTGACTAAAGTAATTTATGTCAATCTTTGGCAAGTATGTCTGAACTGTGACCAAAGTAAGTTATGTCAATCCCTGGCAAGTATGTCTGAACTGTGCCCAAAGTATCTTATGTCAATCCCTGGCAAGTATGTCTGAACTGTGACCAAAGTAACTAATGTCAATCCCTGGCAAGTATGTCTGAACTGTGACCAAAGTATCTTATGGTTTCAACAAAATTTTGTCTTTTCATGTAAATTTTAACTAACAAACTGACGATAAAATTAATCAGTGAATTTTTAACCAGCCTACTACACAACTGAGAGCGAATTTATATAGCACCTTTCGTTCTGATTTTACAATAATTTTTAGAAAAAGAATCAACTTAAGAAAAAGCATTGAAGAATTTCTTTATATTTCTTTAATCTTAAACAATATACACCCAGGACACTTATCATATTGATCTGATAGATATTTTCAAATGAAGTATTAGTAATCTTCGTGATAAAATCTACCTGTCCGTGGTTTTTCTCCTGGCACTCCTGAGTGTTTCTTCACCACCAGAATCTGGCACGTCCTTAAATGACCATAGCTATTAATAGGTCACATACAAAAAAGTTTGACAAATATGGAACAAACATTACACCTGAAAAAATGTTCTTATATAATGTAAACGATGACAAAATAGATGAATATATTCTGTTTTCAGCCATTAAATTTGGGACTACTTTCTTTGTAGATTTAACATCCTATCAGGAGGGCTACGTATCCCTGCGCCACTGACTGTCACATTGTTGGAGGACCAGCTACTCTGGGCGGATTCCACGCGAACAGGTGTGCTTCGTGTCAGCAAGTTTGGGACAGATGCTCCGAAGCAGATTTACATCAACAAACTCATCAAGATGAAGACGGTGAAGGTTTTACAGCGATATCCCGATGTCATCATTAACAAGCGAGGTAGGTAACTTATATATACTGTAAGCCTGATACCCTGATGACATCATTAACAAGCGAGGTAGGTAACTTATATATACTGTAAGACTGATATCCCGATGTCATCATTAACAAGCGAGGTAGTTAACTTATATATACTGTAAGCCTGATACCCCAATGTCATCATTAACAAGCGAGGTAGGTAACATATATATTCTGTAAGCCTGATACCCCGATGTCATCATTAACACGCGAGGTAGGTAACGTATATATACTGTAAGCCTGATACCCTGATGACATCATTAACAAGCGAGGTAGGTAACTTATATATACTGTAAGCCTGATCCCCCGATGTCATCATTAACAAGCGAGGTAAATAACGTATATATACTGTAAACCTGATATCCCGATGATATATACCGTAAGCCTGATATCCTGATGTCATCATTAACAAGCGAGGTAGGAAACGTATATATACTGTAAGCCTGATACCCTGATGTCATCTTTACAAGCGAGGTAGGTAACTTATATATACTGTCAGCCTGATACCCCGATGTCACCATTAACAAGCGAGGTAGGTAACGTATATATGCTGTAAGCCTGATATCCCGATGTCATCATTAACAAGCGAGGCAGGTAACTTATATATACTGTAAGCCTGATATCCTGATGTCATCATTAACAAGCGAGGTAGGTAACATATATATACTGTAAGCCTGATAACCCGATGTCATCAATAACAAGCGAGGTAGGTAACGTATATATACTGTAAGCCTGATCCCCTGATGTCATCATTAACAAGCGAGGTAGGTACCTTATATATACTGTAAGCCTGATACCCCGATGTCAACATTAACAAGCGAGGTAGGTAACGTATATATCCTGTAAGCCTGATACCCCGATGTCATCATTAACACGCGAGGTAGGTAACGTATATATACTGTAAGCCTGATACCCTGATGTCATCTTTACAAGCGAGGTAGGTAACTTATATATACTGTAAGCCTGATATCCCCATGTCATCATTAACAAGCGAGGTAGGTAACATATATATACTGTAAGCCTGATACCCCAATGTCATCATTAACAAGCGAGGTAGGTAACTTATATATACCGTAAGCCTGATATCCTGATGTCATCATTAACAAGCGAGGTAGGTAACGTATATATACTGTAATCCTGATACGTCGATGTCATCATTAACAAGCGAGGTATGTAACGTATATATACTGTAATCCTGATACCCAGATGTCATCATTAACAAGCGAGGGAAATAACGAATATATACTGTAAGCCTGATATCCCGATGGCATCATTAACAAGCGAGGTAGGTAACGTATATGTACTGTAAGCCTGATACCCCGATGTCATCATTAACAAACGAGGTAGGTAACGTATATATACTGTAAGCTTGATATCCCGATGTCATCAAGCGAGGTAGGTAACTTATATATACTGTAAGCCTGATATCCCCATGTCATCATTAACAAGCGAGGTAGGTAATGTATATATACTGTAAGCCTGATACCCAGATGTCATCATTAACAAGCAAGGTAAATAACGTATATATACTGTAAGCCTGGTATCCCGATGTCATCATTAACAAGCGAGGCAGGTAACTTATATATACTGTAAGCCTGATATAAGCCTGATACCCTGATGTCATCATTAACAAGCGAGGCAGGTAACTTATATATACTGTAAACCTGATACCCTTATGTCGTCATTAACAAGCGAGGTAAATAACGTATATATGCTGTAAGCCTGATATCCCGATGTCATCATTACCAAGCGAGGTAGGTAACGTATATATACTGTAAGCTTGATATCCTGATGTCATCATTAACAAGCGAGGGAGGTAACGTATATATACTGTAAGCCTGATACCCCAATGTCATCATTAACAAGCGAGGTAGGTAACTTAGATATACTGTAAGCCTGATACCCCGATGTCATCATTAACAAGCGAGGTAAATAACGAATATATACTGTAAGCCTGATATCCCGATGGCATCATTAACAAGCGAGGTAGGTAACGTATAGGTAACGTATATATACTGTAATCCTGATACCCAGATGTCATCATTAACAAGCGAGGTAAATAACGTATATATACAGTAAGCCTGATATCCCGATGTCATCATTACCAAGCGAGGTAGGTAACGTATATATACTGTAATCCTGATACGTCGATGTCATCATTAACAAGCGAGGTATGTAACGTATATATACTGTAATCCTGATACGTCGATGTCATCATTAACAAGCGAGGTATGTAACGTATATATACTGTAATCCTGATACGTCGATGTCATCATTAACAAGCGAGGTATGTAACGTATATATACTGTAATCCTGATACCCTGATGTCATCATTAACAAGCGAGGCAGGTAACTTATATATACTGTAAGCCTGATATCCCCATGTCATCATTAACAAGCGAGGTAGGTAACGTATAGGTAACGTATATATACTGTAATCCTGATACCCAGATGTCATCATTAACAAGCGAGGAAAATAACGTATATATACTGTAAGCCTGATACCCAGATGTCATCATTAACAAGCGAGGTAAATGACGTATATATACTGTAAGCCTGATATCCCGATGGCATCATTAACAAGCGAGGTAGGTAACGTATATGTACTGTAAGCCTGATACCCCGATGTCATCATTAACAAACGAGGTAGGTAACGTATATATACTGTAAGCCTGATACCCAGATGTCATCATTAACAAGCAAGGTAAATAACGTATATATACTGTAAGCCCGATATCCCGATGTCATCATTAACAAGCGAGGTAGGCAACTTATATATACTGTAAGCCTGATATCCCCATGTCATAATTAACAAGCGAGGTAGGTAACGTATATATACTGTAATCCTGATACCCAGATGTCATCATTAACAAGCGAGGGAAATAAAGTATATATACCGTAAGCCTGATATACCGATGTCATCATTAACAAGCGAGGTAGGCAACTTATATATACTGTAAGCCTGATATCCCCATGTCATAATTAACAAGCGAGGTAGGTAACGTATATATACTGTAAGCTTGATATCCCGATGTCATCAAGCGAGGTAGGTAACTTATATATACTGTAAACCTGATACCCTGATGTCGTCATTAACAAGCGAGGTAAATAACGTATATATACAGTAAGCCTGATATCCCGATGTCATCATTAAAAAGCGAGGTAGGTAACGTATATATACTGTAAGCCTGATTCCCTGATGTCATCATTAACAAGCGAGGTAGGTAATGTATATATACTGTAAGCCTGATACCCAGATGTCATCATTAACAAGCGAGGGAAATAACGTATATATACTGTAAGCCTGATACCCAGATGTCATCATTAACAAGCGAGGTAAATGACGTATATATACTGTAAGCCTGATATCCCGGTGTCATCATTAACAAGCGAGGTAGGTAACGTATATGTACTGTAAGCCTGATACCCCGATGTCATCATTAACAAGCGAGGTAAATAACGTATATATGCTGTAAGCCTGATATCCCGATGTCATCATTACCAAGCGAGGTAGGTAACGTATATATACTGTAATCCTGATACCCAGATGTCATCATTAACAAGCGAGGTAGGTAATGTATATATACTGTAAGCCTGATACCCAGATGTCATCATTAACAAGCGAGGTAAATGACGTATATATACTGTAAGCCTGATATCCCAATGTCATCATTAACAAGCGAGGTAGGTAATGTATATATACTGTAAGCCTGATACCCAGATGTCATCATTAACAAGCGAGGTAAATGACGTATATATACTGTAAGCCTGATATCCCGAGAGGTAGGTAACTTATATATACCGTAAGCATGATATCCTGATGTCATCATTAACAAGCGAGGTAGATAACGTATATATACTGTAAGCCTGATATTCCGATGTCATCATTAACAAGCGAGGTAGGCAACTTATATATACTGTAAGCCTGATATCCCCATGTCATCATTAACAAGCGAGGTAGGTAACGTATAGGTAACGTATATATACTGTAATCCTGATACCCAGATGTCATCATTAACAAGCGAGGCAAATAACGTATATATACTGTAAGCCTGATCTCCCGATGTCATCATTAACAAGCGAGGTAAATAACGTATATATACAGTAAGCCTGATATCCCGATGTCATCATTAAAAAGCGAGGTAGGTAACGTATATATACTGTAATCCTGATACCCAGATGTCATCATTAACAAGCGAGGTAAATAACGTATATATACAGTAAGCCTGATATCCCGATGTCATCATTAACGAGCGAGGTAGGTAACTTATATATACTGTAAACCTGATACCCTGATGTCATCATTAACAAGCGAGGCAGGTAACTTATATATACTGTAAGCCTGATATCCCCATGTCATCATTAACAAGCGAGGTAGGTAACTTAGATATACTGTAAGCCTGATACCCCGATGTCATCATTAACAAGCGAGGTAAATAACGTATATATACTGTAAGCCCGATATCCCGATGTCATCATTAACAAGCGAGGTTGGTAACTTATATATACTGTAAGCCTGATATTCCGATGTCATCATTAACAAGCGAGGTAGGTAACGTATATATACTGTAATCCTGATACGCCGATGTCATCATTAACAAGCGAGGTAGGTAACTTATATATCCTGTAAGCCTGATATGTAGGTAACTTATATATTCTGTAAGCCTGATACCAGATGTCATCATTAACAGGCGAGGTAAATAACGGATATATACTGTAAGCCTGACATCGGGATATCGCGCTTACAGTGTATATACGTTCCCTACCTCGCTTCTTAATGATGACATCGGGATAAGGCTTACAGTATATAGTATATATACGTTCCCTACCTCGCTTCTTAATGATGACATCGGGGTATCACGCTTACAGTATATATAGGTTACCTACCTCGCTAGTTAATGATGACATCACGATATCAGGCTTACAATATATATACGTTATTTACCTCGCCTGTTAATGATGACATCTGGGAGGTGGGTCAGGCTTCCAGTATATCATTACAGGTGGGACAGGCTTACAGTATATTGTTACAGGTGGGTCAGGCTTCCAGTATATCATTACAGGGGGGGCAGGCTTACAGGATATATACGTTACCTATACGTTACCTACCTGGCTTGTTAATGATGACATCGGGGTATCATTAACAAGCGAGGCAGGTAACGTATATATACTATATACTGTAAGCTTGATATCCCAATGTCATCATTAACAAGCAAGGTAGGTAACTTATATATTCTGTAAGCCTGATACCCGGATGTCATCATTAACTAGCGAGGTAGGTAACGTTTATATACTGTAATCCTGATACCCTGATGTCATCATTAACAAGCGATGTGGGTAATGTATACATACTGTAAGCCTGACCGACCTGTAATGAAATCCTGTAAGCCTGACTCACCTGTAACAATATACTGTAAGCCTGACATCGGGATATCAAGCTTACAGTATATATCCGTTATTTACCTCGCCTGTTAATGATGACATCAGGGTATCAGGTTTACAGTATATAGTATATATACGTTCCCTACCTCGCTTCTTAATGATGACATCGGGACATCAGGCTTACAGTATGTATACATTACCCACATCGCTTGTTAATGATTACATCAGGGTATCAGGTTTACAGTATATATACGTAACCTACCTCGCTTGTCAATGATGACATCGGCGTATCAGGATTACAGTATATATACGTTATTTTCCTCGCTTGTTAATGATGACATCGGGGTATCACGCTTACAGTATATAGTGACAGGTTGGTCTGGCTTACAGTATATCATTATAGGTGGGTCAGGCTTCCAGTATATCATTACAGGTGGCTCAGGCTTACAGTATGTATACATTACCCACATCGCTTGTTAATGATTACATCAGGATATCAGACTTACAGCATATATACGTTACCTGCCTCGCTTGTTAATGATTACATCAGGATATCAGTCTTACAGTATATAGTATATATACGTTACCTACCGCGCTTGTTAATGATGACAGCAGGGTATCAGGCTTACTGTATATATACGTTACCTATACGTTACCTACCGCGCTTGTTAATGATGACATCGGGATATCGCGCTTACAGTGTATATACGTTCCCTACCTCGCTTCTTAATGATGACATCGGTATATCACGCTTACAGTGTATATAAGTTACCCCCTTCGCTTGTTAATGATGACATCGGGGTATCATTAACAAGCGAGGGAGGTAATGTATATATACTGTAAACCTGATACCCTGATGTCATAGGTAAATAACGTATAAATACTGTAAGCCTGATATGTAGGTAACTTATATATTCTGTAAGCCTGATATGTAGGTAACTTATATATTCTGTAAGCCTGATACGCCGATGTCATCATTGACAAGCGAGGTAGGTAACGTTTATATACTGTAATCCTGATACCCAGATGTCATCATAAACAAGCGAGGTAGGCAACGTATAAATACTGTAAGCCTGACCAACCTTTCCCTTTTATCTGTAAGCCTGACCCGCCTGTAATGATATACTGGAAGCCTGACCCACCTCTAACTATATACTGTAAGCCCGACCCACCTCTAACGTTATACTGTAAGCCTGACATCGGGATATCGCGCTTACAGTGTATATACGTTCCCTACCTCGCTTCTTAATGATGACATCGGGATATCGCGCTTACAGTGTATATACGTTCCCTACCTCGCTTCTTAATGATGACATCGGGGTATCATTAACAAGCGATGTGGGTAATGTATACATACTGTAAGCCTGACCGACCTGTAATGAAATCCTGTAAGCCTGATATGTAGGTAACTTATATATCCTGTAAGCCTGATATGTAGGTAACTTATATATATTGTAAGCCTGACCCAACTCTAACGATATACTGTAACCCTGACCCACCTGTAACTATATACTCTAAGCCTGACCCACCTCCCAGATGTCATCATAAACAAGCGAGGTAGGCTGTAAGCCTGATACACTGATGTCATCATTACCAAGCGAGGTAGGTAAATATATACCGTAAGCCTGATATCCCCATGTCATCATTAACAAGCGAGGAAAATAACGTATATATATTGTAAGCCTGACCCAACTCTAACGATATACTGTAACCCTGACCCACCTGTAACCATATACTGTAAGCCTGCTATCCTGATGTCATCCTTAACAAGCGAGGTATGTAACGTATATATACTGTAAGCCTGACCCACCTCTAACGATATACTGTAAGCCTGACCAACCTGTCACTATATACTGTAAGCCTGACCCACCTGTAATGATATACTGTAAGCCTGACCCACCTGTAACTATATACTGTAAGCCTGACCCACCTGTAACTTTATACTGTAAGCCTGACCCACCTCTAACGATATACTGTAAGCCTGACCCACCTGTAACTATATACTGTAAGCCTGACCCACTTGTTATTATATATACTGTAAGCCTGACCCACCTGTAAGATATATATACTGTAAGCCTGACCCACCAGTTTTTGTCTCGCATTCAGATAAAATTTTCAAATTGAACTTGATTTATAGTTGAACCTTGTTGCTGCCCTGATAACTTACAACTTTAACGCTCATCTTTTAGAGTTTTATCAACGGTTATTGTACTTACTCATCTTAAATAATGACATTGATATCTGTCTAACCCAATAGTCTTTATTTCCTCTTAATGACATTATCATATTGAGTTAATGACTCATCTTACATATGGTCAAGCATAAATGAAAATATACACTTTTTACAATAACGTCTGGTAATTAGTATTCAAAAGTTTTGTTAGGAACAGAGGGTTACTAGTTAAAAACTATATAAAAACTGACAAAAGTCTGAAAGTTTTATCACATTGACAAAAGCCCGCCAGATTTTTACCTGGCAAGAAATTCCTGGTAGGCTATGGTAAAAAGGGGCAACCATTTCCCATTGTCCGTCATCCATCAATTATTTTATCTAAATGACTTCTTGTTGAAAACTGAAAGCCCTAGCATCATAATAGTTGATCAGTAGGTATCTAGAATAGAGTGCTATAAAGTTTCCTCATATCAATGACCTTGACCTACTTTCAAGGTCATAGGAATCAAACATTTTAAAGCTTTAGACAACATTTTATGATGAACCCTTAAGTTCCATAGCCAGGTATATATGATATGTAGACCAGTAGAAAAGTGCTTACCTTTTTCTCATATACAAATGTATTGTGTGGGTCAAATATTACATTGAAGCACCAATCAGGATCGAATACCAACATAGGCTGTTACGAGTAAACAGCTTTTCTTCTCTTCCAGTTCAATGAGACCTGGGTAGGGATATTTGACCAGTAGGTCCATTGACCGGTGAAGTGAGTTTTAAGTTACCTCATGTAAATGACCTTGACCTACTTTCAAGGTAACAGGAGTCTGTCCTTTCATCATAACTTCAAATTGATGAGGTTCCCAACCTATAACCATATATATATTTGCAGGATATGAAGAAACAAACACAATTTTGTTACTAGAGTAAGCCCTATGGTCTGACTCCACCCCTGGTAACTTAATCCCATGGTCATTACATAAAATAGATTGAGATCCCCACCACATGAATATATGAATCTCTAATAAATTAACCATGATAATTATGTCCTTTCGGACCTATAGAATTAAATGTTATATAAAGCAAGAATGGTGGCTTATCTGTGCCATTTCGTTATTTCGCCGCGAAATAACAAGATCATAAATTATAAACGGTTGTTGTTTCATTATTTCGTGGCAAATTAATGACAGTATATTTGTATCGTCGTGCGAAAAGTTGACATTTTAATTTTACTAAATGTCGTGATCTTGCCGCAAAATAACGAAAAGACAAAAGGACGACATTTGTAACACGAATTTAATGAAATTTGTAGGTCGATAATTATCGCATTATGATTTTGTCTTTTCACACGACTTTTGTTGACAATTTAGATACAAATATAATGTTGTTATTTCGCCGCAATATAACAACACATTGACATTTTATAATTTAAAATCTTGTTAATTCGGGGCTAAATAACAAAATAACGAAATGGCACAAATAAGCCACTATAAGTAAGGGTGATCTCCTGCTGAGGCTGAGTCCCTGGGAATATTACCTGGTACTTTTAATGAAAATATGTTTTTTTTATGATTGCTTCTTTAATATCCAGGTGAGTAGTACAGACCCTTTTTGCCTTTTGTTTATAGTCCCTACATAAAAGAGTTTAGTTCATTTCCAAATACAGTATCCCACCTTGCAGGTTTTTCCTTAAGCAAAATTAGGCTCTGGGTCAAATCCCAAAACATAAAAAAATACATAACTTGTGGAGGGCTATCTGTTACAGCTAGTCCGTGTCACGCTGCCAAGTGTCAACATTTCTGTGTGCTCAGTCATGTCAACGACAACAATGGCCTTGGATACAGGTGTCTATGCGACGTAGGATTTCACCTGGCAGAAAATCAGGTCAACTGTACCGGTAGGTCTGCTTTTAATATCATTTCATTTCAATGAAACATTGTAAACATGTACAAAATACAAAGACAAAGGCCAAGTTTGAATTTAAACATAATCTGGGCCTAGCATGCTGCACTCTGATTGGTTGTCAGATTCTGAAAAATATATGATTAAATATGACAGTAATCTGATGATGTTTTAATAAGTTTCTTTTACAGAAACCTTTGATCATTTGATTAAGCTGATGACTATTATTTTTCTAGAGACAAAATCTATTTTAATGTTTGCGGCCAAATATTCCCTGCGGGGGATCCCCATCACTGACACCAACTACAAGATCGATGCTATCCCACAAGTCTTTGCGAAAAACTCAGGTCGGCAAGGTGTGAACTACGTAGCCCTCGACTATGATGCAGAAGACGAGAAGATCTACTTCAGTGACATAAGAAACTATGCTATAATGCATGCCAAGGTCAACAGTACAGAAAGTAGGTCAAACAGATAATATCTATAAAAATTACATCAACAGTACAGAAAGTAGGTCAAACAGATATATATCTATTACTATTCCATCAACAATACAGAAAGTAGGTCAAACAGATATATATTTATTACTATGCCATCAACAGTACAGAAAGTAGGTCAAACATTTCTATTTATAACTATTCCATCAATAGCACAGAAAGTAGGTCAAACATTTCTATTAGTATCTATTCCATCAACAGTACAGAAAGTGGGTCAAACATATATATTTATAACTATTCCATCAATAGTACAGAAAGTAGGTTAAACAAATCTATTTATAACTTTTCCATCTATAGTACAGTAATTAGGTCAAACATATCTATTTTTAGCCATTCTTAACCTCGTTATTTAGGTCAAAATGTAGAAAATGTGGGTTAAATATATATATATATATATATGCTTATAACTTTTACTACTGTAGCACTGGTCAATGTTGACAGAATATGGGTCAGACAAAACTATTTTTAATTAATTCTTTCACTGGCCATGATATGTGTATAAATGTGTTAGAATATTGGCAATGCTTATAATATATTTAATTGTGTATAAAAGGAGGTTTTGGAGACTACAACCAGAAGGCCATCAAGAAGTCTTTGAAATCTTTAATTTTTAATACCAGTTACTTTCTGTAATGATCTCAATATGAATTTAAATGAACACTTTATTTCTACTTGTTTTACAAATATATTGCGATTGTCAATTGTGATGTATAATTGTGGCTGTGGAAAGTTCTATTTATATGTATACCTTAGTTTATGTGTTTAAAGCTAGATTACAATAAATGAGTTGTGAGAAGGTGACGCCATATCCATGTTTATTATTTGTGTTTACTCAGAGCCGATTTCGCTGACGGTACAGGATGTGCGGTCTGTGGAGGGACTGAGTGTTGATTGGATATCCCGTAACCTCTACTACACAGACTTCTACCGTAGCACAGTGTCTGTACTTCGGCTTCATCATCCCAAGGAAACACGGGTCTTACTATCGGGCATGGGCAAGCCTCGCTCTGTCGTCGTACATCCACTGAAAGGGTATGTTATCCTGTTGTCTCATTTCTAACGTTGATTCATCTCTGATAATTATATATACCCCCAAATAAGTGAGGGGGAGTAGACATGTACATGTAGTAAACACATTTCAGTGCGTCCATGTTTGTCATTGAGTTGGTGTGTTTGTGTACTCGATGTAGGGAGGTACAAAACCTCACTGACAACACAGTCACGAATCGACGCACTCATGGAAAGTGAGATACTTTGTCCCGTTACCTCGTTTTGTGTACCGCGGTTTATACGCACAGTATCATTTTCAAAGCCAACGCTACGTTATTAACAAGAACCTCACTTTAATGTTGTAGTGTTGCACACAGTGTGTATAATACACAATGATGCCTCATAAATTCTGATATAACAACACACTATTAAATCTTCCCGCCAAGAACCGTTCATCACTTCTGTCAGTCCATTTTTTTTTTGTCTTTTTCCTTTCAAGTTTAGAAACTTGAGCAAGTCCATATGTGTGATGGTAGTACTACGTATAAGAGTATAGGGATAGTCTACCTTTCTGCTGCGGTGGGAATATTTAGCCATTTTTCAGCATGGTAAAGTTTTGTTAATTATCAATGTATGCCTATTTTCAAAACTGATATATATTTTTGAGACATATTTAACTACAAATTTCTAAGGCTTGTTTTCAATGCCTCTCAGTTTTTGAATCAGATGCATTACCAAACTTTTATGGTAATTATCCTGTAATAATTACCGTTATCGTTGTCAAAAGCCCAAAAAGAGGAAAGAAATATTTGATATCTGATAAAAAGGAATAATGTAGCACACTAATGTGCCAAAAGATTTGCAATTTTTATTGATTTATTTATTCAATTTCTATTTTAAATTAAACAGACCCTATAAAGTCCAATAAAACAAAATTAATAACAATTTGTCATTGGAATAAATTCTCTGAGTTTCAGAATTTGTACAACACTGTTTATAGTCAATGCTACTAACTATCCCTGTATCAGAAAGGCCAAGAATTCGCTGGCTTTGTATTTGTGGGTTCCTTGGAGGCCATGAATATTACAGAATAATACCATCTGAAGGAAGAAATTAAAGCTATAATTCATCCTTGCCAGTTGGCTGTTTTTGTCCGACTGGATGGAGATTATAATACCGTAGATTTACGTTTTTAATCCTTGCCAGTTGGCTGTTTTTGTCCGACTGGATGGAGAGTTTAATACCATAGATTCACATTTTTCATCCTTGCCAGTTGGCTGTTTTTGTCCGACTGGATGGAGATTATAATACCGTAGATTTACGTTTTTAATCCTTGCCAGTTGGCTGTTTTTGTCCGACTGGATGGAGATTATAATACCGTAGATTTACGTTTTTAATCCTTGCCAGTTGGCTGTTTTTGTCCGACTGGATGGAGGGTTTAATACCATAGATTTACATTTTTTCATCCTTGCCAGTTGGCTGTTTTGGTCCCACTGGATGAAGTATATAATACCATAGATTTACATTTTTTGACCTTGCCAGTTGGCTGTTTTTGTCCGACTGGATGGAGAGTTTAATACCCTAGATTTTAATTTTTTGACCTTGCCAGTTGGCTGTTTTTGTCCGACTGGATAGAGAGTTTAATACCATAGATTTACATTTTTTCATCCTTGCCAGTTGGCTGTTTTGTCCGACTGGATGGAGAGTTTAATACCATAGATTTACATTTTTCATCCTTGCCAGTTGGCTGTTTTGTCCGACTGGATGGAGAGTTTAATACCATTGATTTACATTTTTTGACCTTGCCAGTTGGCTGTTTTTGTCCGACTGGATGGAGAGGTTAATACCATAGATTTTCATTTTTTGACCTTGCCAGTTGGCTGTTTTTGTCCGACCGGATGAAGAGTATAATACCATAGATTGACATTTTTCATCCTTGCCAGTTGGCTGTTTTTGTCCGACTGGATAGAGAGTTTAATACCATAGATTTACATTTTTTCATCCTTGCCAGTTGGCTGTTTTGTCCGACTGGATGGAGAGTTTAATACCATAGATTTTCATTTTTTGACTTTGCCAGTTGGCTGTTTTTGTCCGACTGGATGGAGAGTTTAATACCCTAGATTTTAATTTTTTGACCTTGCCAGTTGGCTGTTTTTGTCCGACTGGATAGAGAGTTTAATACCGTAGATTTACATTTTTTCATCCTTGCCAGTTGGCTGTTTTGTCCGACTGGAAGGAGAGTTTAATACCATAGATTTTCATTTTTTGACTTTGCCAGTTGGCTGTTTTTGTCCGACTGGATGGAGAGTTTAATACCCTAGATTTTAATTTTTTGACCTTGCCAGTTGGCTGTTTTTGTCCGACTGGATAGAGAGTTTAATACCGTAGATTTACATTTTTTCATCCTTGCCAGTTGGCTGTTTTGTCCGACTGGAAGGAGAGTTTAATACCATAGATTTTCATTTTTTGACCTTGCCAGTTGGCTGTTTTTGTCCGACTGGATAGAGAGTTTAATACCGTAGATTTACATTTTTTCATCCTTGCCAGTTGGCTGTTTTGTCCGACTGGAAGGAGAGTTTAATACCATAGATTTTCATTTTTTGACTTTGCCAGTTGGCTGTTTTTGTCCGACTGGATGGAGAGTTTAATACCCTAGATTTTAATTTTTTGACCTTGCCAGTTGGCTGTTTTTGTCCGACTGGATAGAGAGTTTAATACCATAGATTTACATTTTTTCATCCTTGCCAGTTGGCTGTTTTGTCCGACTGGATGGAGAGTTTAATACCATAGATTTACATTTTTCATCCTTGCCAGTTGGCTGTTTTGTCCGACTGGAAGGAGAGTTTAATACCATAGATTTTCATTTTTTGACTTTGCCAGTTGGCTGTTTTTGTCCGACTGGATGGAGAGTTTAATACCATAGATTTTCATTTTTTGACTTTGCCAGTTGGCTGTTTTTGTCCGACTGGATGGAGAGTTTAATACCATAGATTTACATTTTTCATCCTTGCCAGTTGGCTGTTTTGTCCGACTGGATGGAGAGTTTAATACCATTGGTTTACATTTTTTGACCTTGCCAGTTGGCTTTTTTTTTCCGACTGGATGGAGATTATAATACCGTAGATTTACGTTTTTAATCCTTGCCAGTTGGCTGTTTTTGTCCGACTGGATAGAGAGTTTAATACCGTAGATTTACATTTTTTCATCCTTGCCAGTTGGCTGTTTTGTCCGACTGGAAGGAGAGTTTAATACCATAGATTTTCATTTTTTGACCTTGCCAGTTGGCTGTTTTTGTCCGACCGGATGAAGAGTATAATACCATAGATTGACATTTTTCATCCTTGCCAGTTGGCTGTTTTTGTCCGACTGGATGGAGAGTTTAATACCCTAGATTTACTTTTTTAATCCTTGCCAGTTGGCTGATTTTGTCTGACTGAATGAAGAGTATAATACCATAGATTTACGTTTTTAATCCTTATGAAGAGTATAATACCATAGATTTACATTTTTCATCCTTGCCAGTTGGCTGTTTTGTCCGACTGGATGGAGAGTTTAATACCATAGATTTACATTTTTCATCCTTGCCAGTTGGCTGTTTTTGTCCGACTGGATGGAGAGTTTAATACCATAGATTTACATTTTTCATCCTTGCCAGTTGGCTGTTTTGTCCGACTGGATGGAGAGTTTAATACCATAGATTTACATTTTTCATCCTTGCCAGTTGGCTGTTTTGTCCGACTGGATGGAGAGTTTAATACCATAGATTTACATTTTTCATCCTTGCCAGTTGGCTGTTTTGTCCGACTGGATGGAGAGTTTAATACCATAGATTTACTTTTTTAATCCTTGCCAGTTGGCTGATTTTGTCTGACTGAATGAAGAGTATAATACCATAGATTTACGTTTTTAATCCTTATGAAGAGTATAATACCATAGATTTACATTTTTCATCCTTGCCAGTTGGCTGTTTTGTCCGACTGGATGGAGAGTTTAATACCATAGATTTTCATTTTTTGACTTTGCCAGTTGGCTGTTTTTGTCCGACTGGATGGAGAGTTTAATACCATAGATTTTCATTTTTTGACTTTGCCAGTTGGCTGTTTTTGTCCGACTGGATGGAGAGTTTAATACCCTAGATTTTAATTTTTTGACCTTGCCAGTTGGCTGTTTTTGTCCGACTGGATGGAGAGTTTAATACCCTAGATTTTAATTTTTTGACCTTGCCAGTTGGCTGTTTTTGTCCGACCGGATGAAGAGTATAATACCATAGATTTACATTTTTCATCCTTGCCAGTTGGCTGTTTTGTCCGACTGGATGGAGAGTTTAATACCATAGATTTACTTTTTTAATCCTTGCCAGTTGGCTGTTTTTGTCTGACTGAATGAAGAGTATAATACCATAGATTTACGTTTTTAATCCTTATGAAGAGTATAATACCATAGATTTACATTTTTCATCCTTGCCAGTTGGCTGTTTTGTCCGACTGGATGGAGAGTTTAATACCATAGATTTTCATTTTTTGACTTTGCCAGTTGGCTGTTTTTGTCCGACTGGATGGAGAGTTTAATACCATAGATTTACTTTTTTAATCCTTGCCAGTTGGCTGATTTTGTCTGACTGAATGAAGAGTATAATACCATAGATTTACGTTTTTAATCCTTGCCAGTTGGCTGGTTTTGTCCGACTGGATGAAGAGTATAATAACATAGATTTACATTTTTAATCCTTGCCAGTTGGCTGTTTTTGTCTGACTGGATGAAGAGTATAATACCATAGATTGACATTTTTTGACCTTGCCAGTTGGCTGATTTTGTCCGACTGGATGGAGAGTTTAATACCATAGATTTTCATTTTTAATCCTTGCCAGTTGGCTGTTTTTGTCTGACTGGATGGAGAGTTTAATACCATAGATTTACATTTTTTGACCTTGCCAGTTGGCTGTTTTTGTCTGACTGGATGAAGAGTATAATACCATAGATTTACATTTTTTGACCTTGCCAGTTGGCTGTTTTTGTCTGACTGGATGGAGCGTTTAATACCATAGATTTACATTTTTTGACCTTGCCAGTTGGCTGTTTTTGTCTGACTGGATGAAGAGTATAATACCATAGATTTACATTTTTTGACCTTGCCAGTTGGCTGTTTTTGTCCGACTGGATGGAGATTAATACCGTAGATTTACGTTTTTAATCCTTGCCAGTTGGCTGTTTTTTTTTTCGACTGGATGAAGAGTATAATACCATAGATTTACATTTTTCATCCTTGCCAGTTGGCTGTTTTTTCCGGACTGGATGGAGATTATAATACCGTAGATTTACGTTTTTAATCCTTGCCAGTTGGCTGTTTTTGTCCGACTGGATGAAGAGTATAATACCATAGATTTACATTTTTTGACCTTGCCAGTTGGCTGTTTTTGTCCGACTGGATGAAGAGTATAATACCATAGATTTACATTTTTCATCCTTGCCAGTTGGCTGTTTTGTCCGACTGGATGGAGAGTTTAATACCATAGATTTACATTTTTTGACCTTGCCAGTTGGCTGTTTTTGTTTGACTGGATGAAGAGTATAATACCATAGATTTACATTTTTCATCCTTGCCAGTTGGCTGTTTTTCTCCGACTGGATGAAGAGTTCTATGCAGAGTCCATACCTGGCACGGACCTACGGTGATGGAAAGAATATGACAAAGATTCGACAGTTTGAGCTCGGCTGGCCCAATGGTCTTAGTATCGACTTCGACACAGATCGGCTATTCTGGGTAGATGCATACTTTGACAGGTAAGTCCAGGTGTAAGTCCAGGTGTCCAGGTGTAAGTCCAGGTGTCCAGGTGTAAGTCCAGGTGTCCAGGTGTAAGTCCAGGTGTCCAGGTGTAAGTCCAGGTAAAGCTAGGTATAAACAGGATGAAGTAAGACTAAATCAAATAATGGAAGAAATAGGTGAATGTAGAAAGATTTACAATTTTTATTGAGTAATCATCAGGCTTAACTCCATATTAACCAACTTTTATATATTTTTTAACCAGCATGCTGGTAATTGGTAACAGATTATTTGTGATTGTAATAATTCGTTGATCACTCCTCAAAATCATTCTGTTTGCAAATCCACAGTTGGCCAAACTTGTTGATGTCAGTTATCTGGTTATATATGTATGTATTAAGATTGAGAACATTGATGATTCCACATTAATGTTTAACATGACCTTCAACATGGGGGTACATATTTTACTGTTTAACGTTTTTCTTTTAAATCGAGCCAATTTTTTTTTGGCCACAAAAATAGCTCGTTTGGTCCCAAGGAAATACAGAATCATTGTTATTTCTAGGATCCAACATTCTGACCTTGACGGCGGCGACGTGAAGACGTTGGTTGGTGTTAACATCGCACATCCGTTTGGTATCGTGGCGTATAAAGGTACATCGCCATTGTAACCTCGTAGATGTTGGAGAGTTTGATCTGCTGTCTCCATTGCTACACCTGGGATAATTTTTGTTTCCTGTTTACTTTCTTTTTGGATTACGTTCTGTTTCCAGCGATGTCTCCCTAGGTACCCATCCTAATATGACCCTGGCTATTGTCTCCCTAGGCACCCGTCCTAATATGACCCTGGCTATTGTCTCCCTAGGTAACCATCCTTATTTGACCCTGGTTATTGTCTCCCTAGGTACCCATCCTAATATGACCCAGCTGGCTGTTGTGTCTCCCTAGGCACCCATCCTAATATAACCCAGCTGGCTGTTGTGTCTCCCTAGGCACCCATCCTAATATAACCCAGCTGGCTGTTGTGTCTCCCTAGGCACCCATCCTAATATGACCCTGGCTGTTGTCTCCCTAGGCACCCATCCTAATTTGCCCCAGGCTATTGTCTCCTTAGGCACCCATCCTAATATGACCCTAGCTTTTGTCTCCCTAGGTACCCATCCTAATATGACCCAGCTGGCTGTTGTGTCTCCCTAGGCACCCATCCTAATATAACCCAGCTGGCTGTTGTGTCTCCCTAGGCACCCATCCTAATATGACCCTGGCCATTGTCTCCCTAGGCACCCATCCTAATAGGACCCTGGCTATTGTCTCCCTAGGCACCCATCCTAATTTGACCCTGGCTATTGTCTCCTTAGGCACCCATCCTAATATGACCCTGGCTTTTGTCTCCCTAGGTACCCATCCTAATATGACCCTGGCTATTGTCTCCCTAGGTACCCATCCTTATTTGACCCTGGTTATTGTCTCCCTAGGTACCCATCCTAATATGACCCTGGCTATTGTCTCCCTAGGTACCCATCCTAATATGACCCTTGCTATTGTCTCCCTAGGTACCCATCCTTATTTGACCCTGGTTATTGCCTCCCTAGGTACCCATCCTAATATGACCCTCCTTAGGCACCCATCCTAATATGACCCTAGCTTTTGTCTCCCTAGGTACCCATCCTAATATGTCCCTGGCTATTGTCTCCCTAGGCACCCATCCTCATATGACCCTGGCTATTGTCTCCCTAGGCACCGATCCTAATTTGACCCTGGCTATTGTCTCCCTAGGCACCGATCCTAATTTGACCCTGGCTATTGTCTCCCTAGGCACCCGTCCTCATATGACCCTGGCTATTGTCTCCCTTGGTAACCATCCTAATATGACCCTGGCTATTGTCTCCCTAGGCACCCATCCTAATTTGACCCTGACTATTGTCTCCCTAGGCACCATCCTTATATGACCCTTGCTATTGTCTCCCTAGGTACCCATCCTAATATGACCCTGGCTATTGTCTCCCTAGGTACCCATCCTAATATGACCCTGGCTATTGTCTCCCTAGGTACCCATCCTAATATGACCCTGGCTATTGTCTCCCTAGGTACCCATCCTAATATGACCCTGGCTATTGTCTCCCTAGGTACCCATCCTAATATGACCCTGGCTATTGTCTCCCTAGGTACCCATCCTAATATGACCCTGGCTATTGTCTCCCTAGGTACCCATCCTAATATGACCCTGGCTATTGTCTCCCTAGGTACCCATCCTAATATGACCCTGGCTATTGTCTCCCTAGGTACCCATCCTAATATGACCCTGGCTATTGTCTCCCTAGGTACCCATCCTAATATGACCCTGGCTATTGTCTCCCTAGGTACCCATCCTAATATGACCCTGGCTATTGTCTCCCTAGGTACCCATCCTAATATGACCCTGGCTATTGTCTCCCTAGGTACCCATCCTAATATGACCCTGGCTATTGTCTCCCTAGGTACCCATCCTAATATGACCCTGGCTATTGTCTCCCTAGGTACCCATCCTAATATGACCCTGGCTATTGTCTCCCTAGGTACCCATCCTAATATGACCCTGGCTATTGTCTCCCTAGGTACCCATCCTAATATGACCCTGGCTATTGTCTCCCTAGGTACCCATCCTAATATGACCCTGGCTATTGTCTCCCTAGGTACCCGTCCTAATAGGACCCTGGCTATTGTCTCCCTAGGTACCCATCCTAATATGACCCTGGCTATTGTCTCCCTAGGTACCCATCCTAATATGACCCTGGCTATTGTCTCCCTAGGTACCCATCCTAATATGACCCTGGCTATTGTCTCCCTAGGTAACCATCCTAATATGACCCTGGCTATTGTCTCCCTAGGTACCCATCCTAATAGGACCCTGACTATTGCGAGGACATTCAACCCCAAACAAACAACATGGCCACTACATGTATTACTTCTTTCTTACTCTGGCCATACCATCAGAATTTTATACTTCAGATATTTTACTGAGTCTGAAATTTATTGATATTGAATAGTTAGTTGTATATTATGACTAGAATGTGGTTTTAAGTTTCTATCAAAAGTAACATGTATGAAAGGTCACTATTCCTGTCAGAGACAACTATACATGTTTAAGGACATACGATGTCAAAGGTCACAGATATGTTATATGTCAAAGGTCATAGACGCAATAAATGTCAAAGTTCATTGACAGGTCAGATGTGAGACACATTACATGACAAAGGTCATGAACACATTGCATGTTCAAAGGTCATGACCTCAAATGCATGTCAAATGTCATTAGACACTATTCATGTCAAAGGTCATTTACACAACACACATTCACTTTTTTTGTTATTATCTTTGTTTAGATTTATTTTCCAGAAATTTTAATGAAGTGTTTGTTTGCTACAGATCATATTTACTTTTCTGACTGGAAGCTTGAATCTCTGATCCGGACGGACTACGAGGGGCGCCACCAGACAACACTGCGCAGCGGTATTGAGTTTCTCCGAGACATCACTATTTATGATAAAAGCATACAACGTAAACCAGGTAAAAATGATTTAAGTCACTGCCCCTTGTTTCCATGTTATGGTGATCAAATCCTGTTTTTATAGTCACAGTCACAGACAGGGCATTATAGCCTGTCAGGGTCAAGGTCATCACAGACAGGGCATTATAGTCTGACAGGGTCAAGGTCATCACAGACAGGGCATTATAGCCTGTCAGGGTCAAGGTCATCACAGACAAGGTATTATAGTCAGACAGCATCAAGGTCATCACAGACAGGGCATTATAATCTGTCAGGGTCAAGGTCATCACAGACAAGGTATTATAGCCTGTCAGGGTCAAGGTCATCACAGACAGGGCATTATAATCTGTCAGGGTCATGGTCATCACAGACAGGGCATTATAGTCTGACAGCGTCAAGGTCATCACAGACAAGGTATTATAGTCAGACAGCATCAAGGTCATCACAGACAGGGCATTAAAGTCTGACAGGGTCAAGGTCATCACAGACAGGGCATTATAGTCTGACAGGGTCAAGGTCATCACAGACAGGCATTATAGTCTGACAGCGTCAAGGTCATCACAGACAGGCATTATAGCCTATCAGGGTCAAGGTCATCACAGACAAGGCATTATAGTCTGACAGGGTCAAGGTCATCACAGACAGGGCATTATAGTCTGACAGCGTCAAGGTCATCACAGACAGGCATAATAGTCTGACAGGGTCAAGGTCATCATAGACAAGGCATAATAGTCTGACAGAGTCAAGGTCATCACAGACAGGGCATTATAATCTGTCAGGGTCATGGTCATCACAGACAGGGCATTATAGTCTGACAGCGTCAAGGTCATCACAGACAGGGAATTATAGCCTGTCAGGGTCAAGGTCATCACAGACAGACATTATAGCCTATCAGGGTCAAGGTCATCACAGACAGGCATTATAGCCTATCAGGGTCAAGGTCATCACAGACAAGGCATTATAGTCTGACAGCGTCAAGGTCATCACAGACAGGTCATCATAGACAGGGCATTAAAGTCTGACAGGTTCAAGGTCATCACAGACAGGGCATTATAGCCTGCCAGGGTCAAGGTCATCACAGACAAGGTATTATAGTCTGACAGCGTCAAGGTCATCACAGACAGGGCATTATAGCCTGTTAGGGTCAAGGTCATCACAGACAACGTATTATAGTCTGACAGCGTCAAGGTCATCACAGACAAGGTATTTTAGCCTGTCAGGGTCAAGGTCATCACGGACAACGTATTATAGTCTGACAGCGTCAAGGTCATCACAGACAGGGCATTATAGCCTGTCAGGGTCAAGGTCATCACAGACAGGGCATTAAAGTCTGAAAGGGTCATGGTCATCACAGTCAGTGCATTATAGCCTGTCAGGTTCAAGGTCATGCATTACTCCAGTGAAAAATAATGCTGATGCATGTCATACTCATTTAAATATATCAACTAAGTATTGGTTGTGTAAAATATATCAACTAAGTATTGGTTGTGTAAAATATAACAACTTGCTGTAATTATCCTGTGATAAGCCCATTGTGCGGACTCATCAGGTCTGACTCAAAGTAAGATTATTTGGACTCACCCTTATAGAACACTGAAATAGCGTATGTTAATTGGCATATTGCTGGTTAAATACATGTGTTGTGTTTTATTGGCTTTTGTCATCTTTTATCTCTGTAAGATGTTAAAATGATGATTAACAAATATTGAATATATTATTTAGAATTCTTCTAATTGTGATTTTTTACAGAGAATCATCCGTGTCAGAACCGCAATGGGGATTGTTCCCACTTTTGCTTTCCTGTACCGTATTCCAGAGACTCGGGAGCTCTGGGAAGGGTCTGTGGTTGTCCATTTGGGAAAAAAATTGCTGAGAGCCAGCGAGATTGTGTTAGCAATCCGAGTGAGAAAAGGACTATTGAATGTTTGCAAGGAAACTTCCAATGTAAGAATGGGAGATGTATTCCGCAGGCGTTCAGGTGTGACCAAGACAACGACTGTCTTGACTTCTCAGACGAGCACGATTGTGACAAGAGTAAGTACTACAGTAAAAATCTAATCCAACAGGAATGTTAATCGAGCTGGTACCAGCAGGTTGTTAGTTTGTTATGTCACTGTGTCAGCTGCCAGCCTTCTTTGTGGACTTTAGCCCACTCTACTGGTATAATGGTCTGTTCAAATTGCCCTTCAACTGTCCGAAGCCTTCCTCTGTCTTTTAACAATTATTATTGTTAATTATCTTAATAAAAATATTTCTCAAACTTCATTTGTAGGTAAATCTCTTTGGTTCCAGTGAAAAGTTTTCAATTATGAGACTTATCTGAAGTAAAAAAAATGACTGTCAGATGGCCATCTTGGATTTGAACAGTTTAAAGTTGTTCGTTTATTGCCATTACATATTTCACAGAAAGTACTGAAAGGGATCTTTTACAAATCTTACAAATGTGTTGTGCATGTTGACTTTTGAGACTGATCTGAAAAACAAGATGGCTGCCAGACTGCTGGCTTGGATTTTGACAGAAGTTTGTTAACTCTATTTTTAGACAAAATACCTAAAGAACCTTTCTAAACTTACAAAGGTTGGTTCTTCTTGATCCTTAGTCGTACATCTATTCAAGCAAACAAGATGGCCACCAAATGGCCATTTTGGAATTTGTTTATTATCTCTCTTTCTCTGAAAGTAAATTCTCAAATTCTGTAATCGTCTTTCTGTAGTTGTGGACATATGCATAAACAGTTGTTGACTTTTTAATGGAATGTTTCCATGGCAACTGTCATCTCTGTTTGACTACGGACAAAACAATGTACAATTACATCTACGGTATCCATAAAGAGTTTAATTGTACTAAAAATATGACTTAGAATTGTTGTTTGTAGTAACAAACGCTACTATACGTTACATTATATGGTTTACAGGGACGACGTGTCCTCCTCACCAGTTCCACTGTAAGAACGGGAAGTGTATCGGCAAACTCTGGCATTGTGATGGTGACGACGACTGCGGAGACATGTCAGACGAAAAGAATTGTCGTGAGTTTTGACGGAATCTTCTGTCAGTCATTAATTGTGATGTACTGAATTGTCTTGATTGACATACCAATTCCGGTGATGTTATGTACTGAATTGTCTTGATTGATATACCGATTCCGGTGATGTTATGTACATGAATTGTCTTGATCGACATACCGATTCCGGTGATGTTATGTACTGAATTGTCTTGATTGACATACCAATTCCGGTGATTTTATGTACTGAATTGTCTTGTTCGACATACCGATTCCGGTGGTGTTTTGTACTGAATTGTCTTGATCGACATACCAATTCCGGCGATGTTATGTACTGAATTGTCTTGATCGCCATACCAATTCCGGTGATGTTATGTACTGAATTGTCTTGATTGACATACCAATTCCGGTGATTTTATGTACTGAATTGTCTTGATCGACATACCGATTCCGGTGATGTTATGTACTGAACAATGTCAGCATCCATCACATGTTGAAAGCTACTTGTATCTGGAATGGCTGAGGTTCACTATCTCTCACCTAGGATAGGGAGTGTTTGATGGCTTAAAGGATCTTCTAAACATAAATGCTGATATGTTCTTAATTTGAAGATAAAATTTGTTCTTTGAGAGAATTAATGATTTGGATTTATTAGTTATTAATAAAGCCAGAAGATTTGTTAATGTCCAGAAAGGTTTTAAACATTCTGTTTATGATTCAGTTTTAAAGTCTGCTATTTTTTCTGTTTCGTTGGCAGCTGTGAAGAAGTGTCGAAAGAACCAGTTCCAGTGCAATAATACATTGTGTATCCACTACCGCTTCAAGTGTGACACAGACAATGACTGTGGGGACGGGTCAGACGAGGGAAGCTTCTGTGGTAAGTTATAGTGTGACACAGACAATGACTGTGGGGACGGGTCAGACGAGGGAAGCTTCTGTGGTAAGTTATAGTGTGACACAGACAATGACTGTGGGGACGGGTCAGACGAGGGAAGCTTCTGTGGTAAGTTATAGTGTGACACAGACAATGACTGTGGGGACGGGTCAGACGAGGGAAGCTTCTGTGGTAAGTTATAGTGTGACACAGACAATGACTGTGGGGACGGGTCAGACGAGGGAAGCTTCTGTGGTAAGTTATAGTGTGACACAGACAATGACTGTGGGGACGGGTCAGACGAGGGAAGCTTCTGTGGTAAGTTATAGTGTGACACAGACAATGACTGTGGGGACGGGTCAGACGAGGGAAGCTTCTGTGGTAAGTTATAGTGTGACACAGACAATGACTGTGGGGACGGGTCAGACGAGGGAAGCTTCTGTGGTAAGTTATAGTGTGACACAGACAATGACTGTGGGGACGGGTCAGACGAGGGAAGCTTCTGTGGTAAGTTATAGTGTGACACAGACAATGACTGTGGGGACGGGTCAGACGAGGGAAGCTTCTGTGGTAAGTTATAGTGTGACACAGACAATGACTGTGGGGACGGGTCAGACGAGGGAAGCTTCTGTGGTAAGTTATAGTGTGACACAGACAATGACTGTGGGGACGGGTCAGACGAGGGAAGCTTCTGTGGTAAGTTATAGTGTGACACAGACAATGACTGTGGGGACGGGTCAGACGAGGGAAGCTTCTGTGGTAAGTTATAGTGTGACACAGACAATGACTGTGGGGACGGGTCAGACGAGGGAAGCTTCTGTGGTAAGTTATAGTGTGACACAGACAATGACTGTGGGGACGGGTCAGACGAGGGAAGCTTCTGTGGTAAGTTATAGTGTGACACAGACAATGACTGTGGGGACGGGTCAGACGAGGGAAGCTTCTGTGGTAAGTTATAGTGTGACACAGACAATGACTGTGGGGACGGGTCAGACGAGGGAAGCTTCTGTGGTAAGTTATAGTGTGACACAGACAATGACTGTGGGGACGGGTCAGACGAGGGAAGCTTCTGTGGTAAGTTATAGTGTGACACAGACAATGACTGTGGGGACGGGTCAGACGAGGGAAGCTTCTGTGGTAAGTTATAGTGTGACACAGACAATGACTGTGGGGACGGGTCAGACGAGGGAAGCTTCTGTGGTAAGTTATAGTGTGACACAGACAATGACTGTGGGGACGGGTCAGACGAGGGAAGCTTCTGTGGTAAGTTATAGTGTGACACAGACAATGACTGTGGGGACGGGTCAGACGAGGGAAGCTTCTGTGGTAAGTTATAGTGTGACACAGACAATGACTGTGGGGACGGGTCAGACGAGGGAAGCTTCTGTGGTAAGTTATAGTGTGACACAGACAATGACTGTGGGGACGGGTCAGACGAGGGAAGCTTCTGTGGTAAGTTATAGTGTGACACAGACAATGACTGTGGGGACGGGTCAGACGAGGGAAGCTTCTGTGGTAAGTTATAGTGTGACACAGACAATGACTGTGGGGACGGGTCAGACGAGGGAAGCTTCTGTGGTAAGTTATAGTGTGACACAGACAATGACTGTGGGGACGGGTCAGACGAGGGAAGCTTCTGTGGTAAGTTATAGTGTGACACAGACAATGACTGTGGGGACGGGTCAGACGAGGGAAGCTTCTGTGGTAAGTTATAGTGTGACACAGACAATGACTGTGGGGACGGGTCAGACGAGGGAAGCTTCTGTGGTAAGTTATAGTGTGACACAGACAATGACTGTGGGGACGGGTCAGACGAGGGAAGCTTCTGTGGTAAGTTATAGTGTGACACAGACAATGACTGTGGGGACGGGTCAGACGAGGGAAGCTTCTGTGGTAAGTTATAGTGTGACACAGACAATGACTGTGGGGACGGGTCAGACGAGGGAAGCTTCTGTGGTAAGTTATAGTGTGACACAGACAATGACTGTGGGGACGGGTCAGACGAGGGAAGCTTCTGTGGTAAGTTATAGTGTGACACAGACAATGACTGTGGGGACGGGTCAGACGAGGGAAGCTTCTGTGGTAAGTTATAGTGTGACACAGACAATGACTGTGGGGACGGGTCAGACGAGGGAAGCTTCTGTGGTAAGTTATAGTGTGACACAGACAATGACTGTGGGGACGGGTCAGACGAGGGAAGCTTCTGTGGTAAGTTATAGTGTGACACAGACAATGACTGTGGGGACGGGTCAGACGAGGGAAGCTTCTGTGGTAAGTTATAGTGTGACACAGACAATGACTGTGGGGACGGGTCAGACGAGGGAAGCTTCTGTGGTAAGTTATAGTGTGACACAGACAATGACTGTGGGGACGGGTCAGACGAGGGAAGCTTCTGTGGTAAGTTATAGTGTGACACAGACAATGACTGTGGGGACGGGTCAGACGAGGGAAGCTTCTGTGGTAAGTTATAGTGTGACACAGACAATGACTGTGGGGACGGGTCAGACGAGGGAAGCTTCTGTGGTAAGTTATAGTGTGACACAGACAATGACTGTGGGGACGGGTCAGACGAGGGAAGCTTCTGTGGTAAGTTATAGTGTGACACAGACAATGACTGTGGGGACGGGTCAGACGAGGGAAGCTTCTGTGGTAAGTTATAGTGTGACACAGACAATGACTGTGGGGACGGGTCAGACGAGGGAAGCTTCTGTGGTAAGTTATAGTGTGACACAGACAATGACTGTGGGGACGGGTCAGACGAGGGAAGCTTCTGTGGTAAGTTATAGTGTGACACAGACAATGACTGTGGGGACGGGTCAGACGAGGGAAGCTTCTGTGGTAAGTTATAGTGTGACACAGACAATGACTGTGGGGACGGGTCAGACGAGGGAAGCTTCTGTGGTAAGTTATAGTGTGACACAGACAATGACTGTGGGGACGGGTCAGACGAGGGAAGCTTCTGTGGTAAGTTATAGTGTGACACAGACAATGACTGTGGGGACGGGTCAGACGAGGGAAGCTTCTGTGGTAAGTTATAGTGTGACACAGACAATGACTGTGGGGACGGGTCAGACGAGGGAAGCTTCTGTGGTAAGTTATAGTGTGACACAGACAATGACTGTGGGGACGGGTCAGACGAGGGAAGCTTCTGTGGTAAGTTATAGTGTGACACAGACAATGACTGTGGGGACGGGTCAGACGAGGGAAGCTTCTGTGGTAAGTTATAGTGTGACACAGACAATGACTGTGGGGACGGGTCAGACGAGGGAAGCTTCTGTGGTAAGTTATAGTGTGACACAGACAATGACTGTGGGGACGGGTCAGACGAGGGAAGCTTCTGTGGTAAGTTATAGTGTGACACAGACAATGACTGTGGGGACGGGTCAGACGAGGGAAGCTTCTGTGGTAAGTTATAGTGTGACACAGACAATGACTGTGGGGACGGGTCAGACGAGGGAAGCTTCTGTGGTAAGTTATAGTGTGACACAGACAATGACTGTGGGGACGGGTCAGACGAGGGAAGCTTCTGTGGTAAGTTATAGTGTGACACAGACAATGACTGTGGGGACGGGTCAGACGAGGGAAGCTTCTGTGGTAAGTTATAGTGTGACACAGACAATGACTGTGGGGACGGGTCAGACGAGGGAAGCTTCTGTGGTAAGTTATAGTGTGACACAGACAATGACTGTGGGGACGGGTCAGACGAGGGAAGCTTCTGTGGTAAGTTATAGTGTGACACAGACAATGACTGTGGGGACGGGTCAGACGAGGGAAGCTTCTGTGGTAAGTTATAGTGTGACACAGACAATGACTGTGGGGACGGGTCAGACGAGGGAAGCTTCTGTGGTAAGTTATAGTGTGACACAGACAATGACTGTGGGGACGGGTCAGACGAGGGAAGCTTCTGTGGTAAGTTATAGTGTGACACAGACAATGACTGTGGGGACGGGTCAGACCAGGGAAGCTTCTGTGGTAAGTTAAAGTGTGACACAGATAATGACTGTGGGGACGGGTCAGACGAGGGAAGCTTCTGTGGTAAGTTATAGTGTGACAGAGACAGTGACTGTGGTAAGATATTGTCTTTGAATTGAATTACCAGAGTTCCACACATGTGTATATATATTGTCTGTGACTAATCTTCAGAGACCCACATGTGTGTATAGATATTGTCTGTGACTAATCTCAAGAGACCCACACATGTGTATATATATTGTCTGTGACTACCGGTAATCTCCAGAGACACACACTTGTGTATAGATATTGTCTGTTACTAATCTCAAGAGACCCACACATGTGTATATATATTGTCTGTGACTAATCTTCAGAGACCCACATGTGTGTATAGGACGGGTCAGACCAGGGAAGCTTCTGTGGTAAGTTATAGTGTGACAGAGACAGTGACTGTGGTAAGATATTGTCTTTGAATTGAATTACCAGAGTTCCACACATGTGTATATATATTGTCTGTGACTAATCTTCGGAGACCCACATGTGTGTATAGATATTGTCTGTGACTTCCGGTAATCTCCAGAGACCCACACTTGTTTATAGATATTGTCTGTGACTAATCTCAAGAGACCCACACATGCATATAGATATTGTCTGTGACTACCGGTAATCTCCAGAGACCCACACGTGTGTATAGATATTGTCTGTAACTAGTGGTAATCTTCAGAGACCCACACATGTGTATATATATTGTCTGTGACTAATCTCCAGAGACCCACACATGTGTAAAGATATTGTCTGTGACTAATCTCAAGAGACCCACACATGTGTATAGATATTATCTTTGACTAATCTCCAGAGACCCACACATGTGTATATATATTGTCTGTGACTGATCTCCAGAGACCCACACATGTGTATAGTTATTGTTTGTGACTAATCTCCAGTGACCCACACGTGTATAGATATTGTCTGTGACTAATCTCAAGAGACCCACAAATGTGTATATTGTCTGTGACTAATCTCAAGAGACCCACACGTGTGCATAGATATTGTCTGTAACTAGTGGTAATATTCAGAGACCCACACATGTGTATATATATTGTCTATGACTAATCTCCAGAGACCCACACGTGTGCTCTGGACTACTACCAATGTGGAGACAAGCGTTGTATTCCTGACAGTAAACTATGTGATGGATCCCGAGACTGTTTTGACGCGTCGGATGAGCAGGATTGTCCGCCCCTGAATTGTACGGAAGGGAAGTGGACCTGTAAGACGGAGCGTCAGTGTATTCCAGAGCGGTATCATTGTGATGGTGCGCCTGATTGTCGTGACAGCAGTGACGAGGTTGACTGTCGTAAGTACCAGTAAACACGATTTCTCCATCTCTATCATGTCATTCTTATCCTTGCTAATTTAAACTATTTATCCAGTTCCTTTTAAAGGCTCTCTGTCTCTCTGTCTGTCTGTCTATCTCTTCCTTTCCTTGCTTTTAGATCTTGTATTCTCTATAACAGTATGTCTGTCTGTCTGTGTATTTCTCCATTTCTCTCTCTTTCCTTTACTTAAATGCTGTTGACTCTTGTTTTTTCAGTCTGTGTATTTTTCCGTTTCTTACTCCTCCTTTTGTTTAAACATTCTTGACTCTTTTCTTCTATCTGTCTGTGTATTTCTCCATTTTTAAGGTCACCTGAGCTCAAGTGACCTATTCCGATCACTTTCCATCCCTCGTCTTCCGTCGTGCGTCGGCCGTTTGCATAAACTTTTTACATTTTCAACTTCTTCTCAAGAACCAGTGGATGGAACTTTTTCAAACTTGGTCAGAATCATCCTTGGTAGATGAGGCTACAAAATTGTAAAATTGGGATTCCTAACCCAACCCCTGGGGCCAGGGCGCGGCCCCAAAGGGAAAATTAACCAATATTTCAAAAATCTTCTTTTCCAGACTCAGAGGTTCTACAGTCATTTTCAGTGCATGGATAGAAAGATCATCAGGAGCTTTATTGAAATTGTCAATTTCAGGACCCCCAAGCTATCCGTTCTCCCTTGGGGAGGGGGTCAAGTTTACTATAGTTTATAAAGGGAAACAACACTTTTGAGTATATTTTAACAATTTTCTGTAGGAAATTATTCTTACTTGGTGAGAATTATCCTTAAAGGGAGATGGTTTTAAATTGTAAAAATGGGATTCCTATCCCAACCCTAGGGGCCAGGGTGGGCCCCAAAGGGAAATTTAACCAATATTTCAAAAATCTTCTTCTCCAGACTCAGAGGTACTACAGTCAAAATTTCAGTGCATGGATAGAAAGATCATCAGGAGCTTTATTGAAATTGTCAATTTCAGGACCCCCAAGCTATCCGTTCTCCCTTGGGGAGGGGGTAAAGTTTACAAATGTTTATATAGGGAAATAACACTTTTGGGTATATGTTATCCATTTTCAGCAGAAAATCATTCAAACTTGGTCAGAATCATCTTTGGTGGATGAGGGTATTGCATTGTAAAATTGGAATTCCTACCCCATCCCCAGGGGCTAGGGCGGGGCCCCAAAGGGAACATTTACCAATATTTTAAAATTCTTATCCTTTGATGACATGACAAGTATTGTATTTCACTTAGTTTACATGTTGATTTCCACATCACATCTAAACAATAAAATAAAGCTACCAGTACCTATGATATAACTCAGGTGATCGCTACCAGTACCTATGATATAACTCAGGTGATCGCTACCAGTACCTATGACATAACTCAGGTGATCGCTACCAGTACCTATGATATAACTCAGGTGATCGCTACCAGTACCTATGACATAACTCAGGTGATCGCTACCAGTACCTATGATATAACTCAGGTGATCGCTACCAGTACCTATGACATAACTCAGGTGATCGCTAAGGCCCTTGGGCCTCTCGTTCTCTCTTCCGTTTGCTTAAATACTCTTTCTTACTCCTCCTTTTGTTTAATCATTCTTGATTCTTTCCTTCTATCTGTCTGTGTATTTCTCCATTTTTCTCTCTTTCCTTTACTTAAATACTGTTGACTCTTTTATTTTTTCTGTCTGTGTATTTCTCCATTTTGCTTTCTTTCCTTTACTTAATAACTCTTGACTCTTTTATTTTTTCTGTCTGTGTATTTCTCCATTTTTCTTTCTTTCCTTTACTTAATAACTCTTGACTCTTTTATTTTTTCTGTATCTCAACCACTATTTACAATCTCTCTATATGAAGAAGTGTGAATGATGAAAATTCAAATTATTTAAGAGTGCTCAACTTGTAAATATTCATATTTTCCGAGTAATAGATGGATCAGGATACATGTATATCAGTCTACTGTCAGACTCCGGTCAGCTGTTTGGTCTGAAGTGTATATATGACACCAATGACTGGCAGTGGGCTAGTGGCTGGCACTAGTGTGACAATGTCTCCTGATATCTGGGGCTACTAATATCAGGCCACTAACAGGGTCCTACACTCATTTTATACATATATACATATGTTATAAACATGTATAATCTGAAATAAAGTAGAACGAATAAGTAGTTCAATGAATTCTTTTACTGGACGAATGAAGATATCTTTATTGAACCAATTAAGATATCTTTACTGAACAAATGAACAAATGAAGATATCTTTACTGGATAAATGAAGATATCTTTACTGGACAAATGAACAAATGAAGATATCTTTACTGGACAAATGAAGATATCTTTACTGGACAAATGAACAAGTGAAGATATCTTTACTGAACAGATGAACAAATGAAGATATCTTTACTGGACAAATGAAGATATCTTTACTGGACAAATGAACAAATGAAGATATCTTTACTGAACGATACCTTGTTGTCCTAGTTCTGCTTTGAAGACTGATTAAATTATTGTTATTTTCTTGTTCAGCGTCTCGAGAGGATGGCTGTCTAAAGGAGGAGTTTAACTGTACACAGGGAGGCTGTATCCCCCTCACATGGAAATGTGACGGCCAACCAGACTGCCCTGACGGCTCAGACGAACCAGATGACTGTCGTAAGTCAATTCTTTAGACACCTGTCAACAACTTTGGTATGGGGACCTGCCACACCTTGGTTTCCAAGGATAGTTTGCTTTAATTCTGTGGATTTTGATAGACTTGGTCAGCATGTACATTGTTCAATGACTAAGATTGAGTTCAAAGTTTAAAATCTTAATATAATCAATTTTAGCACACTATGCTGTGATTGGTTGTTGTTCACACTTGTTTTTTTCTCAAAGTTATTTGTAAGTGATCTTGAATTGAATATTATTTGATATTTATGAAATATGTAATATGTGTATCTTGTAAACTTGTCATCATCAACTTCAATATTTTAGCAGTCATCTTGTTTCAGCAATTTTCATGCTAATATTTTGCTTGTTATAATTGCCCAAAGTTAATATTCTGTACAATATTAATTTCTATTGGCTATATTGTCATAATTTGTGATTGTGCAAATTCATCAGTGATCTATATATATAGCGACGGTGTAGAAAATGGATTGATAGAGTCTATATATATAGCGACGGTGTAGAAAATGGATTGATAGAGTCTATATATATAGCGACGGTGTAGAAAATGGATTGAT